CTCTCTCTCTCTCTCTCTCTCTCTCTCTCTCTCTCTCTCTCTCTCTCTTTCTCCCCTTTCCTTCATCCCTCTACGGATCGTCCTCGTGGCGGCTGAGACTCACACTATAGTGCGGGTAATTTTCTTTGCATATTTATATGCGCGCCTCATCGAGAAAAGTGTCTCTGCTAAATGCCTCTTCTCCTCTTCCTCCGAAAGAATTAACTACGTTTAATAGATTCGTGCACGAACCCTTTCTATCGGGCCCTTCCCCGATGATTCGTTTGCACGATCAAGATGGAGTTATCTTCGGTCATACCAGGCAATTTAGCCCTGATCGCCCCCTAATACCCTGCGTGCAGCTGCGTTCGTTCTGCCGCGTTGCGTATTGGAAGAATGCGAAAATTAATACGATACGAGGCAAGAGAGAGAGAGAAAGAGAGAATTAGAGTTAGAGTTAGAATTGATTTCAACCCTGGGAAAGGCCGATGACCCCTTTGGAATATTAGACGACCTCTTGGAGTATTAATAAATGTCGTCAAATATTAGAAACGAGAGAGCCTGAATCAGACAGACTTCACAAAGATACTATCTTCAAAGAAGGGAAACAAGAAAAATGCCTGCACCAGCATCAGCAAAGACCATCAGTCCTTTTAAAGAAACAAAATAACGTGAATATCTTGGCACAGAGTCAATAAATGTCTTGCCAAATAAGGAATACTTAAAAACTACTTAAAGAAAGCAACATGAATGAGCAAATTAGTCAAGAAAAGTATCGCCGTATTGCTGGCCAATGAGTAATATCGCAGTGTTTGTTAGTCATTTATTCATCGTAATTAACCTTTCGTGTCTAAACAATTTTCGCTATGACCGCAAGGTAATTTTTTTTTTACTAGAAAGAGAGTGATTAATGAATGTAATAAATATAGGTATAAAAGGGTACATTCGTGCGATCGCGCATTCATGTCGCCATGGTATCGTTATATTCCCATTGGAGAATACGAATGGAAAGGTGGACGGGGCCCTTCCGCTAATAACGAAATCGATAAATGATTAATCGGCGTAGTAACGACCTCGGCAGTCTGGCTTATCCCGTCTGATTCTACCGTGAATAATACATGGTGTCTGCGTAGTCTGCTGGACTCGGCGCGAACTTTTGATCCTGTTACCGGCAAGTGTACCGTGAACATCATCATACTTCGTCAAGTGCTTTTAATGTTATATTAAACAGGTTCGGGCACTTACGTCCGCGGCCCCAGGCGGTGTAACGTCATTACGTGAGATCTCGCGTGTTCGGAGCGTCCCTCAAACTAGATCCCGAACTTTTGCCCGACGCGTCCACTAACGAGAGAACACAGAACGTCTCGTAATCTACCTCTCATCCGTTCATAATTAATGCGACAAACGTTTCGCATCGAATTCGATTACCGTACTGCTCTCTAATCATACTTCCCATAATGCCGTCGAAGAGATGCCAGTAGTTCAGATCCGCGACGGAGTCGACGACCGGTCGCTTCTCCGCCAGTAAGTCGGCTGAAGCGTCGCCGACACACTCGGCCGAGTCACACCGACGACAGTGGGATGCGGCGAACGTCGCCGCATTTCTGTCGCCGACGCGGAAATCATGCTTTATCATTCGGCGAACGGAAACGGCTCTCTTCGCGGAACACGACAATGTTAGCAGGACGTGTTACTGTTGTCCGTGTCGGAGAGCGGACACGAAGTATGGTGAGACTGTTCGGAAGCGACGGCAACTTAACAAAAACAAAACAGAAAGCAGAAAGGCAGAAGCCAATCAGAACTCGTAGAACAGCAGGAACTGTCGACCACCACCTGGCACCAGCGTTAATTCTGGTTGTCTTCTACCTTTCTGCTTTTGTGCCAAAGTGTAAATTCTCCCTTAAGCTTGATCTATAATGTGTTCTCTGCTTCCTGTTTCTGTTCCTTTATCTATATCTGACTCAAACCTTAAGCCAGAAAAAGACAAAGAACAAGAAACAGAAAGCAAAAAACATATTGTAGATTAAGCTTTACAGAAAATAGAAAGGTAGGAACCAGCCAGAACTCACGTTAGTGGTCAGGTGGTGGTTGACAGCTTTCTGCTGTTCTACGAGCACGAATTCCGATTGACTTCTGCTTTACACTTTTCTGCCAAAGTGTGAATTTTCGCTCATTATCGGGCTCAATTAAGCACACGCGCCGTCAATAAGGCCAAAAGCGACGCGCGGGATCAGCCGACGTGATTACACGTTGCTATTAATCGCGCGGCACTCTTGGCGCTCGTCCAAGAACACAGTGGAAGCTCTCGCTTTCTCGCCGCCGCGTGGTGAAGGGTAAAGCGGAAACGAACCGCTATTACGCTCCACGTCCGCTCTCGAACGAATCGAAGATTAACGCCAGCGAAGACAGGAAGAAAAAACGGAACACCCTCGCAAAAGCTCGCCTGCATGACGGAGCACCCGCTCAGCCGTGAGAGCCCGGACACGAACCGCCGGCTAGCGTCTTGTACCGACTGCGCCCGCCACCCCTTTGCGCGCGCGGGGGCGCGTATTGTCGCGTACACGCCACCAGCCACCCCGAAGGTAGACAGACGCGGCTCTTTCCGCCACGTTTTCCAGAGCCGGGTCTGACACCCTCCTCTTCGTACGTACGCCGCTTCTCGGTGCGCGCGAGAGGGCGGAAGGGGTTCGCTCGTAGCGGGCGTGGGGTTGCGCGCGCAGCAACCCCTCTCTCTGTGTCCGGCACGTAATCGAACTGGGAGCGCCGTGATCGTCGTCGTCGTCGTCGCCGCCGTCGTCGTCAGTTCCGCAAGACGGGGTGCTAAAATCTGTCGTTGAAGCCGGGGTACGCGGTCGCGCGAACAAGTCCAAGCGACCTTCGCTCGCAGGAAATCTCGCGGCAGACAGCCGAGTACTCGCCAGCGTGAATCCGCCGTGAAGAGCGCACAGCGCGGCCGATCGTCAGCGAGCAAGGGCGAGGATTCGTAACTCCGTGCGAGAGCGCGATCGCGCTGCTCACTCCTAGATTATAGCGACACACCGAGGGTGTGCGGAGTGCGCGAGTGCGTGCGTGAGAGTGTGTATGTGTGCGCGCGCGCGTGTATGTGTGTGTGTGCCTAGGAATAGAGCGATAGAGCGGCCTCCTCGTCCACCATCACTCAGCTCTCGAGTGATTCGAGGCCCAGGAAAGCTGTTGAGGTGAGGACCGTCGACGCCGAGTAACGAGAGATCGCTTCTGCGTGGCGACGAGCGGAGTGAACATCGTCACCGAGAGTTGAATGGTGATTCGGTCGTGAGGGGAAGCGACGGCTGGACGGAACGAGGCTCGGCGAAGCGGAGCAGCCGCGTAGCGTGCCGATTTCGAGAGGCCCTCATCGGAGCTCCTGCGTGCCTGACGCGAGCTGCCGTGGTATCTCCTCGAATCACAATGGCGTCCAAGCCCGTCTCCGTCCCGGAATCAACGCCGGCCACGATCAACGCCTGATGCAGGCGTCGTCGTCGTCCTCGCGAATCGACGTGTCCGTCGAGCCTACGTCGTCCGCGATGCTGCCACGCGAGTTCAAATGAGCGGGCTGCCACCCGCCAGTGCTGCTGGTGCTCGTCGTCGTGGCCGTCGTTCCTCGGGGGATCTCCGGCAGCTCGGAAGGTGCGCGATCGAGTGAGCAACATGAAAAGGATCCGCAAGAGGCATCCGCCGAGGGTCAAGGAACGATCGTGGCAGTGACTGGTGTGTGCTGGGCCAGTGATAAATGCGTATATAAGTGCGTGGTGCTCATCGCCTGCCCCCTTCCTCCCCCGCCCCCCACGGAGAGGGTTTCTCTCTCTTTCTCTCGTCGCCCCGATGTCACCTCCTTCCTTCGCTGGATACAGGTCCGGGGTGTTAGCGATGGATGCACGCGACCACGCACGATTCACGATCGCTCGTCTCGATCAATTCGTGCGGAAGGCTACGGCGGCCCGACGATTCCGGTAAATAGCCCGCTCTCGAGTACGATCGTCAGGGGCGATTTGCGAGCGGCACACGCGATGTTCGCGTGGCTACAGGCGAACACCGAGGAAGAACTGACGATTGAGACGATCCACGGGCGTATCGCGTCGATCGTCTCCGGATTGTCGCCCCGAACGAAAGTAAAAGGCTACACGACCGGTAGAGATCGCGAATAAAAAACGCAACCGCGTTCCCAAGCTTTCCCTCTCTCTCGTCCCCTCTTCCTCTCTCTCTCTCTCTCTCTTTCTCTCCTTCTCGCGGAGAGCTGCCTCGCGTTCAGCCGGCCGTAAATCTCGTTCACCGGGAGTTCGAGGCTCGAAGGGCACGCGATGCCGCGTAGGGACGCGGTGAAACGCGATAGACCACCGGCATGGGGTCTCGCGAGCGAGTGATAACGACGAACAGTGAGTGAAGACCGAGCAGGTGGTGGAGGAGGAAGAGGTGGAGGAGGAAGAGGAAGAGGAACGGAAACGGCGACAGGAGGAGGAGGGGGTTGGAGGGATCGTCTGGTTCGGCACCGGTGCTTTTTGCAGGAAAACCTTTCAACCTGGCGGACCAAGAGGAAGGCGGCGGCTCGGCGGCGATGCAGGGTAAGGAGAGCCCCGTCGGGTCCAACACCCAGGAGACCCATCAGTACGTCGGCCCTTATCGGCTGGAGAAGACCCTGGGGAAGGGCCAGACAGGTGGGTGACATTGTCTCTTCTCTCTCCCCCCTTCGTTACCTCGGCTTGGTTTGTCACGCCGCGATTGACACCGACAGCGTATACGCAGGAATGTTCAGTTGCGTCGGGTCGGGATGTCTAATTAAGTTCCGCGCGCATGGTTCAAGCTGGTGTATGAGAGACGGTGCAAAGGCTCGTCTGCAGTATGCGGAGTAAGCTTGGCGCAAGTTGAAGTGGGAGATAAGAATAATTTATTTCGCGCCTACACCACGAACTCCTTTACATCGGGAGTATTTCTCTCAAGTAAGGGAGATACTTCCGGTGTAAGGAGGCTAAAGTATAGGCGTAAGCGAAATGAATTATTCTTATTCCTTTCTGCAACTTACGCTAAGCTTGCGACGTGAACTGTACTTAACAAAGGCTCGTTTAGCGCACTTCCTCGACGGGAACGGTGAAATTTCGTGACATAAGGTAACGTCTCGAGTTCCGAGAAGGGAGTAACGAGAAGGGAAGTTTCGCCGATTAACGTGCAGGCTGCGCACGTGCTGCACACGGAAAAAGGAATTTAGTTGGATTGACCCAATTTCTGATGAAATATAAACGAACCAGAATGCCGGTCGAAGTTACCAGAATTCCCTTTAAGCTAACAAGGTTTCTCGTTAAGTAACTTGGACAGTTGCAAGTCAACGAGAGAAATCTTGTTTGGTCAATCAGAAGTCCAGAAACGTTAACTAGAATTTTGATAACTTCAGAGTTATGATAATTCTGATAACTACCGGAATTCTTTCTGGTTCATTTATATTTGGTTTAATCCAACTAAGTTTTCTTTAGGCTTTTTTGATTAATCCAACCAAATTTTCTTTGCACGCATAGCCGATGAAAAGCACGATGGATAAATTGGGCGGTTTTATTGGTCTAAAAAGTGTAAAGTAAGTTATGTAACGTTGTTTTTTGAGTCGTAGAATACGATAATAGTGTTTTTATCCGTCTAAATCCGTGAAAAAGTAGTCAAAATTCGTCTTAAAAAGGTCGAAATAAGCACTCTTAACAATAACTTGGTTAGCGACGACTTTGTTCCACTTATTTCATTATTTGTATTACAATTTAGGTTTTATGACTTCTTTCACTGAGAGTGGAAGAATCATTTCAACATGAAACGCAACAGTAATGCTAAATCAATATGATATAAAAATAAAACAAAATATAGTCAATTTTCTAATTCAAAGAAACTCAAGTTTCATCAGATATGCATTTGCATAGATAGTGTAGTTTTAAAGACGTTAAAATGGCTAATGATAGACTTTTGCACCACTCTGGAAGTCCCACCAAAGAACTTCTTACAAGGAGATTTTACATTTCCGAGGTGTTTTATTTGGAAATGTTTTCCCGCTTTTCAGTGAAATAAAGTTATGAAACTAGACTGTAATATAAGTAATTAAATAATTAGAACAAAATCAATCGGTAACCGAATTAAAAGCGACTTACTTCGACCTCTTCAAGGCAGATTTTGGCCGCTTTCTCGCGGATTTAGACGAAAGATTCACTAACCCAATTTTCCGTATTAACTCAAAAAAGTAACGTAGGATATATATCTTGCGTTACACTTTCTAGGCCACGAATCGGCCCCTTTTTACTCACCGTCCTCTCGCTGGCGCGAGGACTTCAAGGTCCGGGGCCGTTTTGCTCCGTGTCACGGAACACGTGCGTTTCACGCGGATTAGCGGGGACCGCCGGACATTTCGCAAATTTCACGACTTCGCCGAGGATCGGCGGTCACCGCGACGATTACACGGGACGAAAGGAGAACTTGCTCGCTGGCGCGTGCGAACGACAACAACGACGAGGGTGTTGCCGACGGTGGCGGTAATAGGATCGAATCGAGGTCGTTTGGCGGATGCACCAGCGAGACTGTTAACCTCGCGCTGTCGAATGCATTTTCGCGGGCCACGGTTCTACGTGCCTATATAGAGCCGGTCGTAACGTTTTACTGGCCACCCCCGCGCACGTCGTCCTTGTTCTTGTTCCGGTCGAGCGTAACTTGGATTAGCCCTCGGGATTACTGCAGCTGTACGGTATACCCTTACCGTGTGGCGCGTGCAAATTTGCCCCCGAACGGCTGTACGTTTCGCGCAAGTTTACACGTCGGAGACTCGCGTGAAATCGACGTTTCCGCCGTACGATATCGGTGTATCTCGCGTCATGCCGAGCATCGTCGCGAGCGCAGAGCATTCTGATTAAAAGTATCGCGAACGACGCAATTTTGACGTTCTTCTCGTGAAAGTAGAGAGGAGACCGGTTCAAGAGTTGCTTTCGCAGGTCATGCACACTTCATGTGAGAATTTTTTTCGTAAAAATTACTGTAATTGTGTGTAAGCGAGAAATAGATCAATATTCTCCGCTATATATAATTCATTATCCACCCGTTTTATATGTTTTATTTATATTTGAGGTAGTGTAAAGTGTACTTGAAATATTCTGCTATGTTTCTAGCGTAATTTACTATGTGTCTGTTAGCAAGATAAATCTTACTGACAATATCTGACTCATTACACTGAGAGAAAAATATATAAAAGAAATTACTCCTATTCTGTAGAGATACTATATAATAACATATTTTAAATATAATAACATATTTTATTATATAGTAACATATTTAAATTTAGAGAGGAAGCGTTGTGTTCGTGTTAAATTCTTTTATTTGAATAGAATAAATCGTTGCTCTCGCGAGAAAAAGCGAGAAAAGTTTTAGGAAAATATATATATATATATATATATATATATATATATATATATATATATATTTATATATATTTTAAAAATATTATTTTTAAAATATATATATTTTTCCATTTGAAAGATATTTTTTACATGTCATGTAAACATATGTACATCAGTACGCTGAATATGCTATCAGTACTACAGAATTTATATTCCTTATCTTTCAGATATTCTTTTCGATATAGAAATATAGCAAAGTTGAAAAGAATTTATATGAAAAGGAGAAAACTGTATTTTTTCCGTGTAGATATTTTTTTCTATTTTAAGTAAGTAACGTTTCGCGATTCTTTCTTTTTCACTACTTCTCGCGCAATGAATACACGTAAACAAGACAAGTGGTCAATGTGACCCTTGGGCCAACTTGACCCGGTCTCCTCCATATCCTGCAACGCGAGATTACAGTTTATCCGGATATAGATGTACGGAAATACGAATTGGAGCGGGCGGAAGCCGGAGATTTTTATACGGGAGTTTTTGCGCGATCTGGCGATTATAAAGTGACGAGGTAATAATGGAACAATGCATTTCGCCAGAGAGCTCGTGTCAGAGACGTTTGCGGTGTGGGCACTTAACGCCGCACTAATTTGCTCTCGCCTCGCGTAGGTATTCGACGCTATTATACGATCGATACCGACGTACTAATTACGTTATGCAGCGGTTATGGGCAGGCAGAGAGTTAGAAATGTTTGAACTTGAACGTAATAATTCCGGGGCGTTTCCAATAATATCCCGCACATAATGAAAACGTGAAAGAGAAAGAGACTGTGTGTGTGTGTGTGTGTGTATGTGTGTGTGTGTGAGAGGGAGGGAGGGGAAGAAAAGCGTTATATTTACAGTTCGCGTCCTTGCAAGTTGCCAGAGAATCAGATGGCGCTATTTTCACGTTTTCGACAGCCGACAATAAGAAAAGGACAGATGCGCGATCACGCGGGAGAGGACGAAGCGGGGAAATTCTCGCTGGAACATTTTAAGGACACATCGTGGCGAAGTACACGAAAATCAGAATTTATTGCATCGGCACACTTTCCGGGCAACCACCGCCTACGCGGAAGCGCAAAAAGAAGCGGACGCGGCGGGCCGGAATGTTACGATCCCGTTAAAAATATTGGAGTGGATGCGAGACGTTGGTGCGCGTTGCTGGTATACGACAGGGCGTATTTTGTGAGAACGACTCTTGTTCATTCGACAACAATCGTGAAATACGACACGGATCTCCGCACGTCTCTCCCTCTGTCTATTCCTCTATTTTTTCTCTTTCCCTCTGTCCTTTCTACGACACTTGGTAGCCCGTAAAGTGCTCCTCTCGCATTAAAATATTTAAAAAGATGCTTCCGCCTCGCGTTTATGGCATGAAAAAGTCCCGGCGACAATTGTAAATCTTTACGAAGCGGCAGTAAACGTTTTTAATTAAACGTCGCCACCAGGGAGGAGCTGGAAGGTAATAACGTCCGCGACAATGAACGTGCATGAGAAAAAAGACCAATTCGCACGCATGTACTCGGTGTGTAATAAATACGAAGGTAAATTAGCGGTATTAAAGGGAGACCATGCATACACAGCTCTCTCTCTCTCTCTCTCTCTCTCTCTCTCTCTCTCTCTCTCTCTCTCTCTCTCCCTTTTTTTATACGCTATTCCAACTGATTATCCACGGAACTCCCATTTTCATTTGCGGACGCGAGATCCACGTAGGGGAGTCCAGGATTCACCCGGTTCAGCTAGATCGAGATCCAATTTTGCAAAAGCCCGCTAATGAATGCACGGCCGACACTCGACGGATGTGTGTGAGTCGCGTGGTCATTTCCTCCATATCGATCCCTTCGCGTTCACCTCGAGAAGGGGATGCGTGCTCACGCTGCGGCACGTGACAATACGGTGCGTTAATCATACGAATGAATTCCTCGCCACGCTTTGAATTCCGTGACGCCGCGCACTCGCGCGCGGCCCGATGAAATTGCCGTCCGGTCGCGGGGACGATCGCGCGCGATTTGAATTATAACCGACGCGGCAGCGGGATCGATGAGAACACATTCGGGAAGAATGATGACTATTCGCCACGGTTTTCCGCATGCGACGAAGCCAGCGACGGCTCTTCACCGCGATTAGATCAGGCCGATCTGAGATCGGGAGGTAGACTGTAAGAAACGAACGAGAGATCCGAGATTCGGAACGATACGAGTCGAGTTATGCTGATTTTCGGTTAACGCAAATCCACCCCCACCTCATTTCTTCTACGCACAGAGAAATATATATTGCAGTCAAGAAAGTGTTGTTTGTCTCAAGTATTTTATAATTTTTCTCAGATTTGTGATGAGTGTGATTTCAAGACCATCAAGGTATAACAATCTTAATTTCGGGTCAAATTTGGTTTATTAATGTGCTAAGAAAGTAGACATTGTAATGAAAACACGAAAACATTTCTTATATGCATTCTTTAGTTTTTTGTAATTATATTTTAAGGGTTACATTTACAAATATTCTTAATATATATAAGACAAAAATCTAGAATATCAATTATTTCAATCTTTGGATTTATGAAATTACTACAGTAAGTTGTGTTACCATTATTCTCTATTGGGATTAAAACAATGTGAATATGGATATTTCCCGCTACTATTCTCGAAAGTGGAGCGAGATCCGATGGTCGCGGAGAGGGAGAATCGGTTCTATTGTGAGACAGCCGACTTCTTTTGCCCTGTGCTTTTGGAGATCGCGCGTTCGGAGCACGCTCGGCGGACGATTAAATTTATTAGCGCCCTGAATTCGATACGCCCTGGATACACGCTACGGGATACGATCTCGCCGATACGGCCAAGTAACGTCGCGTTGATCAACGCGCAGACTGGAAAATATCGCGAAATGTAACTCGATTTCACATACACACATACACGAGTACACAAGTTTCAGGCGTGAAATATCATTTCGGCGCGAGTACGCGCTCGGAATTGCGCGCGTATGTGTGTTAAATTCCCGTTCGTAGATTTCAATCCACGGGACGCGCGCCACGAACCGTCCATGAATATCGTTAAATCGCGCCTGACGCAAACCGTCAGAGGGTGACGAGAGGGCGAGGAAAGAGGGAGGAGGAGAAGAGTGCACTTTAACTCTCGATGGCGGTGCTAATGCAATTGCCAGCGATTTGACGGGGAACGCGTCCGTTTAACACTTCCGTGAGAATTGTCATCTCGTCAATCATCCGACGGACGGTGGACTTAAAGTCCGACTTGATTTCGATTGATTTGACGGCGGATGACCAGCGGATGGCCATCGATCACGAGGTCTCCGGCTATTTATAACTTCTAGTGTAACGTCACGGGAACGTAATGTATTTTTAGACGGCATGTAAATAAGCGCACGCGGGCTCATACAAAGAAAAAGACAGAGTGAGTGAGAGTGGGTGAGAGAATGAAAGGAGAGAGAAAGAGAAAGACATAAATAAATAGATAGATAGATAAATTGATTAAGCCTTGGAATAAAATCGCTGCAGGCATACAGTAATAGGAGTGTAATATATATATATATATATATATATATATATATATATATATACAAAGTGTAAAATTAAAGATGTTACAGACCATAATTTCTAAAACTAAGCAAAATATAAAATTTTTGTTTACTATCAACCGTTTGGCATCGAAGGTAACATCATTTGATGAAGTTCGTTTCGCGTTAAAATAAATTCAAGACCACTTGGACTTTTTAACTATCAACAGAATAGCCTGTAACAACTTTAACTTTGCACTCTATATATAAAAGTATAAAGCAGTGATGTAAAGTTACCGATGGGAAGATGAGAAGAAAAGAAAACAGAGAGAGAGAGAGAGATAGACACACAGAGAGAGAGAGAGAGAAAGATAGACACAGAGAGAGAGAGAGAGAGAGAGAGAGAGAGAGAGGACAAATTCAAATTAATAATAAAAAGAAAAGGAACTTTAAGCGCGCATTGAAAAGGCAATGAGAAACTTAATTAGAAATACGACACTAGATGTGAAAAATAACGAGAAAATAATTGCGGCAGAATGAAACAAGAGAACAAGAACATAGACAGAAGCTCTGCTGCGAGACGACAATTATTTTTGCTCGAGTGTAATCAAAAACCATTGATCATCTCGCAATGCTGGTCGATGGCGCACACATGACGTCGTCGAGCACGTCGCGCGATTCTTCATCCAGGATTAAACTCGTGTAATCCGCCGAGGATAGGCGGATTCGTCGAGGATTCTTAATTGCTCTCCGCCGCGCCGTGGCGTCTCCACACAATGAACGGTTTCCTCTTCTGTATTTTTTCTTCCTTCCTACCCTTTACTGATCTGCTTAAGCAGACGGAGCACAGCCGCAGTACCGTCGTCGTGGCGCAGTCGTTTAAGTGGATAAAGACATCGCGCGGACCTCGGACCACGACGATTTAAATCAATTTCGCCGCGACCTCGTAAATTCGCCGATTTGGCGCAGCCGAGTCGTTCCCTCCTTTCCCACCGGCCCCTGAGTCAAAACATATTTTTCATCGCTCGCTCCTTTTAAGAAACGACGACAGTAATAATGAGACCGATTTGTTGTCGCGTTTCTGTAATCGCGATACGGCCGCGGCGATACCACGCGCGGATTACCTTTGGGACGTGTCGATCGACGCGGGACAACGTGTACCTTTTCATCGACAATCATGCGAGAGGACCGTCCGGGAATACTGTGGCACTGTGCGCGCGTTTCGTCACACGCATCATCGAGCATTCATTCGCGTTACTCGGTCGAATTCGGTCGCGCGACACAATTGCGCGCAATTAACGCGCCGAGGATAAACCACCTAGAGATTCTCCTGGACAGAGTCCTCACATCTCGGTCCTGCTGTTTGATTGGTCCAGTTTCTAAAGTGATCGAAAACGGCGGACTGTAGGTTTATTCAGATGAGGGAACTCTCTTACTCAGTTTCACAACTTTAACCGGAGTTTAACTCGTTAGAGGCCTATCCAAACAAATTCTCGCATAATCGCATTATTCATGTGCACAAGGAAATCAAACAATCATGATCGATCCAGTAAAAGGATGCCTCTTATATTAAACATATTTTACATTAGATTAATCCATTTTCTTATGAATTCATTTTCTTACTTTACACATGAATAATGCGAGTTTGTTCGGTTAGCTCTTTAACGAGTTAAATCCGACTAAAAGTATATTGTGGAGCTGGGCCTTAAGGTTTCTTATGAAGCTTATCTGGACATAGTGAATAGGCGCTATTTTCGATCTCTTTAGTGATAAAATTGGAGAAAAATAGACTAACTAAAGAACAGTATGTGTTGTTGCGAATGACAGCGAAACAGCGCGTCCTCGAACTCGTTCGAGAGCTCGCGCCTTCATGGCAAATTTTCATGAGATTGCCGATAGTTGCGCGAAGAACACGATTCTTCCTAGTGGAAGATGGCCCGTGCACCGTGAGTACCGTGGCGACGAGTTCCTCGTGATTTGCCAAGTGGAAGAGACTTGAAACCAGTCGAGTAAAATTGTCGTGTTCGCCCGTCGAAACACAGCGGAGGGGTGTAATAATACTGAGGGTGGTGAGGCGATGGTGTGTGTATGTGTGTGTGTATATATATGTACATATCACCGCATCCCCGAAGGATGACTCAACCCTGAGAAGGGCCTCGAGTGATTCGAGCACGTCTCGTATCGACGACTTCGCCGATTCTCTTTGCCGTTTCTCTCAACATTGTACGCGCAATTACGATATCGTGGGGCTCTCGTGGCGATCGGTCGATTAAAACATTTCGCCTGACAAGGATATGCAATTAGAATCATTATTTCAAAACGCCATTTTTTTCTACCTCTCTTTCATCAAGGAAACTTTTGCCAGCACTTGGTCGCTCGTAATATCTCGGCAGACGAGAGTGCGTGATTAGAGTTGTTACTTTAGAGCGATTTTGTCTTCTTTCTCGACCGTTTTCTAATACACGGGTGCGTGTTAATAGTCATCATTTGAGCCTTGTCCCTCGTGGGATACTCAGATATCAATTTAGAATTAGACTTGAGTATTTTATTTGATTTACTTGAATATATGCGACGTTACATTTTATGATTCAGCTGGAAGATTCACACTTAACTCTAGATTCAAATCTGATTATCTCACCTGAGGCAAGTTCCAAAAGTATGGACTATTGATATAGGTAGTTCACGGAAAATTTGCGTTTACTCTCTCTCTCTTTCTTTCTCTTTCAAGGTGAAGTAAACGAATCCTATCTTTCTATTTTAGGATTAGTAAAGCTCGGCGTACACTGCGTGTTGGGCAGGAAGGTGGCGATCAAGATCATCAACCGCGAAAAGCTTTCGGAGTCCGTGTTGATGAAAGTGGAGCGCGAGATCGCTATTATGAAGTTGATCGACCATCCGCACGTGCTCGGCCTCTCGGATGTGTACGAAAACAAGAAGTACCTGTAAGCATCGACGGAGAATTACAAAGAAATGTTTCTTTTAAACAGCAATATCTCACTTTAATGCTAAAGCACGCAAGAAGGCGCGCATGACGTCACGTCTCACTCGCCGCTGCACGTTCTTTTTCAAGATATCTTGTTCTGGAACACGTCTCGGGCGGGGAGCTGTTCGATTATTTGGTTAAGAAGGGTAGACTGACTCCGAAGGAAGCGAGAAGATTTTTTCGACAAATAATTTCCGCATTAGACTTTTGCCATAGTCATAGTATATGGTGAGTCTCGTGTCTCTGGGTTTGTATTAACTAATCAGTAGTAAAGATATGCGAACTACTCGAATCCGAATCTTTACTGTCCGAGAGTGTGCGCTATCAGGAAAATTATCCAATTACGGAAATCCAAATACAAATCTCTCACATATTGACGATCTTGGGAAATTATATTTTCTAAGGAGCAAGAGCGAGCAAGTCATATTTAAATGTTCCGATTTGTCAGGTCCTAAAAAGAATCGATTAAAACACATAGTTAAATAATTATAATTAAATAAAAACAAAATAATTAGAGGCGTTGGAGGTTTAATATTAATAATTGGGATTAATCTAATATTAATAATTAGGATTCAAAATTGAGTGCAATTCAAAATAGAGTTAAAAGATTGATTCATCACATACGTTGCAATTCCGGAAAAATATTTCAATTCGTTTCTCGGTTCAACCCGAATGGATTTTCCGGCTATTCGACTCGACACGGGACCTTGATTCGCACATCTCTACTAATCTACCTTCTCGACGGAGTATTTAATCTCAAGGGACTGATTCTCACGCCTCGTTGCCCATATTGCTTTCAGTCATAGAGACTTAAAGCCTGAGAATCTGTTGCTGGACGAGAAGAATAACATTAAGATAGCGGATTTCGGAATGGCGTCCTTACAACCCGCGGGCTCTATGTTGGAGACCAGCTGCGGATCGCCTCATTACGCCTGCCCCGAAGTCATTAGAGTAAGCCGCGATCAATTCACGATCGACACCGCGATTGCATATAATCCGCGCGATAGATCGAGTTTGCGCGAAGATTACGGTTTTAATGCGGGAGTAGGCGCGCCCCGTTCATTTTGCCGTACTTATGCACTTTTCAATTATATCATCGACGTTATAATTTTCTACTTAACTACGTAAATGCAATATAACGCGAGTGTTGTGTAACAATTACATTGTTGAGTGGGAAATCATAATCATTGCTGTTTAGTTGGTGTTTACCGAGTGTACGTACTAATTTGCTAGTAATTTCATCTTTCTAAGTTTTTCTTAGTCTTCCCTTGCGTGGTGTAAAAGGGTAGAACACGTTTATTTCTGTACGAGTGAGGTGAAGCATGAACTTGTGTACTTCTATACGAACACATGACGCGCGCACGTCGGAATTTTAATTTCACAAATCTTATTTATCTGTACAAATTTTAACGCGCGTATAATTCTTGTTGTTACTAATATATTTTGTCAGTAAGTTTACATTCGCCCAGTGAAGGTAAAATGATCTCAAAAATGGAAATGAAAAGAAGTAGAGAAGCGAGAAAATGAGAAGAAATTTTCGATATTAATCAAATATATAATTAATAAAATTCTTTTCGTCAATTATTACGGTTCTGTAAATTGTTAAAGAGAAAATTTTTTTGTATATATCGATTGCTAATTTGCTACAATATATATACTTGTGTCGATGCATACTACGGCCAAAATGACTGGAACGCGTGTCCGCTAACGTTCATCAAATCTCACCTAAGTCTAAACCTCTCATCAAATCTCACCTAAGTCTCACCTAAACTAAGAACGCTCCTTTTCCGGCGACAGGGCGAGAAGTACGACGGTAGAAAGGCGGATGTGTGGTCCTGCGGGGTAATACTTTACGCACTCCTGGTGGGCGCGCTACCTTTCGACGACGACAATCTAAGGAAACTGCTGGAGAAGGTTAAACGCGGATTGTTTTATATACCGCACTTCGTGCCACCGGAGTGCCAGAACTTGCTCAGAGGCATGATAGAGGTCGATCCCGAGAAAAGGCTGACGGTGAGTCGTTTTGCTGTCATTTTGTCGGATCAGTGGCGACTCTCGAAAATGCAATTGAAGAGAAATTCGATACACGATATGGAGTCAGTATTACATCGGCCGACGTTGGCTAAACATTTGCCGTGTCTGTCGCGTCGCGAAACCGGCTTAAAGCGACGTTGTTTCTCCTTTTGTTCCAGTTAGCGGCCATAAACAGGCACGTGTGGGTGACGGCGTCGGGTAAGGGTGAGTTGGAGTTGGAACTGTCGATGATGGACGTAGTGCAGACACACGTTATTCCGTCCGTGGACGCGATCGACCCCGACGTGTTGCAGGCGATCGCGAGCCTCGGTTGCTTCAAAGAACGCGACAAGCTCATTCAGGAGCTGCTCAGTCCCAAGTAAGATCTGATTTCTCTCCCAACCTCTCCCGACTTTTACTCCCTGAATTTCTTGAAGCGGGATTTCGCACCAAGAGAGCGAAGTTTATTCAAGGAAGTTCACACGGAGCGAAGTGAAATACCGCCACTCAGAATAACGAAAATAGATTCGACTTCGACCGCAGAATTAACTTTCATAATAATTAATTCGCAGCACAAGTGAATATCTCAGTCGATTAGAGTGAATTCGTTCTGGTAGCGATGGAATACATCACAGATTCACTCTTCAATTTCGCGCGAAAGTTTTCGATGATTCGGGGCGTGGAAAAGCTTATTCTAGCTGTGGCGAAAGTCACTCGACTTCTCGAGAGACGGAATTTTGCTCGAGGAAATTCAAAGGGTACACAATTCCCCCAATTCCTTGGCTGGGGACTCGCTTTCTCCATTCGGGAACGCTCGCGCCAAATGTCGCGATTGCACGCTCTTCCTTCCATCAGCCACAACACAGAGAAGGTGATCTACTTTCTGCTGCTGGAGAGGAAACGAAGAAGACCAGCGTGCGAGGACGAGCTAGAAGTAATGAGGGGCGGTATGAGAGGATCCGCTGGACAACTAGAGGCTGATCCACCGAGGAAGCGAGTGGACACGTGTAGGGTGAACGGCAGCACCGCGCTCAATCTTGGACAGATCAGTCACGGCTCACCTTTAACACCACGAAGACAGTCTAGGTAAATCCGCGGTGATTCCAACAGAATACCAAGTGCGTCGCGACTGATCACTCTCACGCTCTCTCCGCCAACCCCTCCCCCCTCTATTATTGCGTGGGAAACGGCGAATCCGGAAAGATCGATTCCCTGGTGTCTCTCTCTCTCTCCCTTTTTTCGCATAAAACTAACGCACACCGGTGAACGCTTAACGAAAACGTTCCGTAACCGCAGCTGCGGCTCGCCTCGCACGATCGCGTGACAACGTTGGCTATCCGCCGCACATGTCGCGTGTTACCGTATCACGTGTCGCCCTCCGGCTGCTTATTTTCCCTTTTTCATCGGACCTGAGCATTACGCGAGCGACTTAGCCACCGTGCATGCATACATACGTGCATTGGCGAAGCCGAACCGAACGTGTGACGCGGAGTTATCGAGTCGCACGTCTCGATTGGTCCGCACGCCGTGTCGATAAGAAAGATCGAGCGCTCCTACGGAGAAACGTCGAGCGTTACACGGCCGATTTTCACCCCCTTTCATCGATCCTTCATCCGACCGCGATCTCGACGACTTACATTCGCTCGTAATAGTCTAGTAATATTTGTAATAGTATCTCAAAGCAAAATCTCAGCAGGCTGTCGGCAAATTTTACGACGGACGCACCGCGCAAAGACCGTTTCCGGCTTGGCTACCTAAAGGAACAACAACTCACTAATTGTTGCAGCACGAGACATCACGCACGTCGCTCGCCGAGTACAGGCTGCCACACGCACGCGTCGCATTCGCACGCGTCGACGCCGGGCAGCTCACCCTTGCACGCGCCGAACGTCGCCGGGCTGTTGAGTCCTCACCGGACGGTGCCGACGTCGCACATGGGCCAGACCGGGAGTCCTCATCGGCTGTCGACCGGCGGGACGACCACCACCGCGGGGAACGGCAGTCCGACGAGCCAGAGTGTGCCAACGCCGGCGCCAGCGCTCACCAATGTCGGCATCGAGCTCAACGAGGTGCAACCCGGTGAGTAGGCGCGTTTTCTTCCTCGCGATCTCAAGACTCGAGGTTCAATGGTAACAGGCACGGCGTCGGGTAAGAGTGAGTTGGAGTTGGAACTGTCGATGATGGACGTAGTACAGACACACGTTATTCCGTCCGTCGACGCGATCAAGTCTTGATTGTTTCAAAAAACTCCGGCGACAAGTTGTCGCGAGTCCGCGGATAATCACGGCCACCGTACAGCCGTAACCTATCGTGCGACACCAATAATCACTTAAGCTGACTCCTTCACGAAGCTACTAGCCCGTAAGCACGGCAGATCGAATTACGCTAAGTGCTCCCGTGTTTATCGCTCGGCCGCGGATTGTGTGTCAATGTTTAAACAGGGTCCCCGATGCGATCGCACGCGGATTACCGCTCTACCACTGCACGTCCGACGTTTAGCGTCTTGCCGGACGTTACCGTTCGAACTCGCGGGATTTACGTCGTGATTTCACGGAAATGTATAATAAATATTCCTGCGCGAAGTGGCGTCTCTTGCACGCTTCGGAATAAACGATCGAGCGTTCAGTTGCGCGCCTCTATGTAAATCATTCGAGAGTGATTTGAAAGGACAAAGAGCCCGCATAGAAACTTCCCAAGATTTTTCCAACATAGATTTCAATTAGAAATGCCCAAATTTGCCCTGAAATCGGTTATCTCACTACAATACTAATTAGGAGTACCATTCCTGTCTATAACAAATTAGCTAAAATAAGTAAGAGACCAGCAAAAACACTGCGATATCGCATATGTTTTGTATTTAATTAATATAGATGATACAAAACAGAATTTCTGTTTAAATTACATGTGAAATTTAGCAAGACTGTCTTTCTGCATCGCTCATCTAGGTGAAAGCCATACTTATGAAAATTGACTATGATAGACAAAACAGACCAGCGACAAAAGGCGTTAAATTCTTAAAAACATTCTCCTGAGAATATAGAATAAAATATCAAAAAATAAAATATTTTTTAAACACTTTGGGCATTTTAATGGATATTGAAATTATTGTGAAAATCAACATGTTCTATTCAATTCTAACGTAGAGTAAGACCTGAAAAATATTGAGAATATTTTGGGTTTACCCACTTTAGAGTCGCGTATTTGGAACAGCACGCTTTTATTCAGAACCCATAATTATTTTGGGAAATCAGGCCAGATCCCAATCAGATTCCAAGAAATTTTCTATGCGAGGGAGAACGTCGTTGCCGACGTAATTCCCGACGTTATCCTCAAGGTCTTCCTTTCTCAGTAGTCGCGGTCGGCGTCACGCCGCCCGGCTCGCCTCACACAGGAGCGGGATCCGGCGCTCACCACTGGAGGTCGCGATTGACCACGATCAAGAACTCCTTCCTGGGCAGCCCCAGATTTCACCGTCGCAAGTTGCTCACCAGTACCGAGGAAGTGCACCTTACGCCGGACTCTTCGCCGGAGCTCACGAAGAAGTCGTGGTTCGGCAGTTTGATGACCACGGAGAAAGACGAGACCTTTACCGTGCTGGTTAAGGGAAAGCCGCTGGCTAGCGTCAAGGCCGACCTGATTCACGCTTTTTTGTCGGTGAGTATCGCGAGTCCAACATCCCTGGGAGGGTCTCTCTCCTCGACACGACGACTCGCGGTCGAGTCTCGTCGACCGGACGACGAAACTAATCGAATCGAAATCGCACGGCCGCTCGCAGATAGCAGAATTGTCGCACAGCGTCAGCTCGCCGATGTCGTTCCGGGTGGAATACAAGCGCGGTAGCACCGCGCCTGCCATGTTCCAGAGGCAGGTGCGATTTCAAGTTGATATCAGCGCGATCTCGAAGCAGCCGAACGAGCCGTTGTTTGCCATCACCTTCACATTACTCAGCGGTAAGCTGCAAACTTGCATTTTCATTCTTACGACTGAGTGTATCGCTCTTCGCCCTTTGATTGCCGGATGCGATTATAGTAAATACTAAGAAAAAGAATGTTTGCAACTAGAATCACACAGAGAAATAATTAATGTAAATTGTGGTCAAGAAAGATTTTTTATCCTTTCTTTAAGGGTTAAGTTCGTTAATGAATATATTTAAAGAGGAGAAAATTGACTATGCTTGACTTCTTGAACGATTACGAAAAATCTCAGTGCTATACTTCTTGAATCATGCATCAAATTTTTATTTTCATTTTTTTCAAGACATACAGCATACGGCCTGGATCATTCTTGCATAATTACGGCCAATTGACAAAGAATAGCCTAATTTGTCACTTATTAGTGACATTCAATTTGATGAAAGAAAATTAATGAGAAAGAAAAAGAATGCGGCGATCAAAAGGTCGAATCACAGGCACGGCGTGTTTCTGTGAGAAAGTTAATTCAACTAAAAAGCGAAAGGTGCAAAGCCCTCGCTCTTGGACGTACACGCGGCAGATATGCGGCGATTCGCGAGGATGCCTCGCTATTTGGCACTTGGCAGTCATCCAAGCGCAACTAGATCGATGTTACCTTGGCACGTATGGCCAGGATACATACAATTTCACGTTTCATCCGCATATATTCTACGCTCTTCTACGTGGGTGGGTCGACGTGCGGCCTCTGACTTTTTTTCTTACATGCGAACGCGACGTTCGACATGCTGCTGCGCTCGACGTGGTACAAGTCGCTCGTCCGTGAATCGTAAATTCGGCCCCTGTCCTCAGCACACGTCCGAGAATTTCACGTCGTGAAATCCACTTGTGCTCTGACACGACCCCTCGTTAGTTTCTTCGCGCGATTTAACCGCGCTAGTTGCCGAAGTCGATTCTTTAACGGTCTCCCTCAACATTCCGCAGGTAACATCCGGAGATTCAGGAGAGTCTGCGAACACATCCAGTCCCAGGTGTGCTCCAGGAACGTCGGTATCAACTTGGGAGGGCAAAGCAGAGCCGCGCCGCCCAGTCCGAGGGCCTCCAGGAAGTTCGCCACGGAGATGAGCGAGAGCTCGAGCTGCGGCAGCGACACTAGCGAACGGCTCTTTCTCAGTCCTCACCCAGCTACCAGACAGGTAGTCTGTTTCAACAAGGTAGTGCATCATCCCCATCAACATCGTCATTTTTCTTATCATCGTCATCGTCTTCTTCTTCTCCTTCATCTTCTTCCTAGCCGTGATTGTCGTAGTAGTTGGATCACTAAAGTTCACTAGTGGTCCAATGGCGAAAATCGCGGCAACGTCTCGTCAAACCATACAAATTGTTTTGCACCACTCTTTTTTCAGCGGCATTTGCGTTTTCGATCCGATTTCAAAATTCTATTTTCAATTTTTGATTTTATTCCGCAAACCTGCTCGGAGTGATTCATTCGTTTTAACATTGTTGACCGATACACAAACTCGTGTTTCGCTGGACAAACACTGTCAAACAAGCCGCGAGTTATCTCGTGTTAAATAAAACCGGGAATAATAAGCGGGTGATGGGGAAAAACGGTCGGCCAACAATGTTTTGAAAAAAAAGAGCCGCGACTTGTGTCGATTAACGCGTACGCCCGGGTCGTTTTCAGATCGACTCGGACATCGAGTCGGACACGTCGGTGTTCGACGTGAAGTCGCCGACCCGCGAGAACGGCAGGAGGAGCTCGACGTCGACGAACAACAACAATCCCTTGCCGGGCGACGCGACGCCGACGCCGGGTAGCCCGCCGAAGACGGTGAGGAGCAACTCGGAGAGCCAAAACACATCCGAGAAGAAATGTGTCACCACGATGAGCGGTAACAATATAGCGTGATACTATCAGAACTTCCGCTTCGAGTTCCGATCGAGTCTGAAGAACCTGTGGGACAGCGCTCAGCGATTCTGGTGAGATATCTCTGGCGGGTGTGCGGCATAACATGCATACGCGGCAGGCAAGATCGAGGGTCTAACGTCGCGAAGCGGTCCCCATCAGCAGATGAAAGCAGCGAGAAGATCGAGAGGCGACAGCGAGACGAGCGCGCTCATCCACACCGACGTAACGAAGCTCCAGACATCGAAGTCTTTAGTGCGAACTCCAGAAGGTTCTCATCGTTCACTCTCGAAGCTGAACAACGCCTGCCTATATTGATCCCGAAACTTTGTTTGGGGACACGCAAAGTCCACCCCCCGAGCTCAAATTCGAACGCTGCAAGCGACGCTACGACACGCTGTCCTATTTTCGCGTGACTAACACGATCGCGAACCTCCACCTGCGTTTTCATTTCGGGAGATGTGAATCCTCGAGGAGGTAGACACTACCCCTCCTCCCCCCCTGAATCATCGCCTCCGTTACGAAATCGCCGCAGTGGACATCCGCGAACATATTCCGGTGAACCTACTACCACCGCGACGCACTAAGACGAGTCATACGAGAGGAGGGAGAGACGAGGGAGACGAAGAAAACGAAGAAGAGGAGGAACAGGAAGAAGACTCGCGATTATCCGGCAAGTGAAACGTGTGAAAGAACGTTCGGGAGAGATGCGTCTCGCGGGAGGATCAAGTGCAATGACGTGACGTTATATTGTTTGTCGTCACGTGTGTACGGTGTTGTCGCTAGGTTGCAACGCCTGGTACGTATGCCGCTAATAATAGTAAAAGAGGAAGGAAGAAAAAGGCGAAAAGAGCTGTGCAATAATAAGAGGTTGTCGCCGGTTCTCGCGTGTTAAGTTTATATACGAAACGTGGCGCTCCTTTGCGTTTAAGCATGAATTCTATTCGTTAGTTAGAGAAGATGACGAATCGCCGTTGTCCGAAGCACCGACTAACCTTCGTTATACGCCCCTCCCTCTACTTAGGGTCCTGTATTATTATTATTATTATTATTATGATTTCCTTTTCCCTCGCGTATATCCTTCACGTTCACGTGTAACTTGTTGTCGCGCGCGATTCGCTTTCGATCGATCCCGCGACATCGTTATAAGTAAGCTCCTCGAAAAACAAATAGTCTAAATAAAAGAAAAAAAATAAATATGCGTACCAAGTACACACATACACACCATTCAGCTATTCTGAGCTAATCGAGCGCGTAAGATAACGCGCAAGCGGATGGAACGTTCCGCGACACGAAGAAAATGCGCTGAGAGATTTATTTTTTTCACGCACGACGAGAAAGAGAGAAAGAACGTATGTTTGTTTGTTTGTGTGTGTGTGTGTGTGTGTGTGAGAGAGAGAGGGAGAGAGAGAGAAAGAAGTCTCTGCAGATACAGGATATTAATATAATTACATTATACATATTAAATATTATAGAAAGAATATACATGCACGCAGAAAGAGAAAGAGATCCCACTATAAATCACATATGACATGAGCGTCGTATATGGCTTTTCGTCCGCTTCTTGTGAGAAGAAGCGAGGGAAACGTATGGATATATTAAATAAACAAAAGCTTGCGAAAGCCACCGCAATGCAATTAAGTGCTAACGTTGCCGAGCGCGACCGCTAATCAAGAGACACAGGTGGGGAAGCGCCTCGCTGTGAGAGATCACCGTGACTTCTTCCTCTCCGTGTGTAAGCGCAGTACACGGCGAGAAAAAGGGAGAGAGAGAGAGAGAAAAAAAGAGAGAGAGAGAGAGAGAGAGAGAGAGAGAGAGAAAGAGAGGACATAGTTATCATAAAAGATTATTCTCTCAACACAGACATATCTCGAGGATTGCCCCCGGCTTCTTAGTAAAAACGATATAAAGGCGTCGTGTAAGTGCATTTTAGGCAACCGTTTTTAATCGGCAGCTCGTCGCGCGCGCTCGCGTGTAGATACGTGGTTTTACGCATTTACGGGGACGGGGGAGGGGGCGGCACGGAGAGGCTTTTTAGATGAATAAATAAGCGGAGGGACAGAAACCCGCGCCGCGCGTGGCTCGACGAAATGAAATTCGCACGAGGTATCATTGATATCTCGCAGCTCGGTACGTAAGTCGTGACGATGCCCAAGAGGAAGGATCTCGTCTTCGACAACGGCGTGTACGTGTGTTCCTCGAGACGCTCGCTCGATTATTAGGATTTTAGTAGGCGTTTTAAAAGCGAGAGAAGCGCGTGTATCACGAACTCGCACGAATCAAAATTGCGATTTTTTAGCGCGGCCGATCCCAGATCTCAGCTCTCGCTTTAGGTATTAACTGCGTACTGTATCGCTCATGGCGACTCGTTCCTATATATAAATGTCCGAGAGAGCTATATCCTGCAAACAATCTGATGCGACGGGTGAAAATTAACGACCCTTCCTCGCTTCCCCGCGCCGTTACATTTCGGGATTAGTGAAATTTCGTGCGCGCGCGAGAGAGAGAGAAAGAGAGACGGCGAAACGCGACAGTGTTGGTTCTGTCGAACGAGTGGGAGGGGGCTGAAAGGAGAGGAATTTAGTACGTATCGAGGAGACCTGAGTCGAAATGTTGACTCTACACTGATCACGCAAATTCCGTCAAGCTGAAAGGACTAATGGGGATGCTCGAAGTACACCACTGTGTAACTACTGTTTTTTGATCCTACAGATGCTTATTGATCACTATTTTGTCCTGAGCATAAAAAGAAATATTCATTTGAAAGTCATTTAATTTTCTGAACTTTTAATTTTAACTTATCAGACTGCAAACAGAAACTGCAACAAGCAAACGTTAAATGATCTAATAAAGATTAACAGGCAAATTGGAATATGACCCAATAAACCCTCTTCTTTCATAATCTTCTCTTCTTGCTATGTCTTGTTAAAAACTTCATTAAAATTTGAAGATTCAAATGAAGTGAAAGTGAAGAAGCTGTGAGTCTCGTCACCGATGTATCCTGCATCCTGGAGTCAGCTCTTGGCCATCATCGTGGTCAGATGCTCAATGATACCGCACGAAAATAAAAGTCGATAAAAAGCGCGGTTTTAATCAAAGCTCGCATACTAACCGGCAGTGACCGTCAGATATTAAGAGTGACACACTGTCGATATGTATTACGGGTGTTGACATGCAATGTCCTATAAAATTAAAATCTCGAAAATTTAAACATGAAGTAATACCCTGAAAAGTCATAATCCCGAAATTCGAAATTAATTTCCTGAGAACAATTTTCCTGAAATATTGTGAAAGTATGCAATATCTCCGAAAATCTACATATAATTCCGAAATTTATATCAAGATAATTATTATATATCAAGATTATATAGAGATATAAAGAATTTTTCGAAAACAAACATATATAACAAACTTATGTTTATTGTATGTAAACTCTATAGATTAAGTTCGTTAAGTATCGATTTCTGGTACGCTGCGATATTTAGAAAGAATTATTTTTCAGGCAATTATATCTCTGTTTTCGAGCCTCGGCTTTATAGCTTTTCGGCACCTCGTTCATTTACAATATTTCGGAAAATTTGTTGTTCGAAAAATTATCTAGGTAAATTCGAACTTCGAGTTTACAGTTTCTAAGGATATCACTCAGTCCCAATATTTCGGGAAATTGCCTCAGTATTCTGATTTCGAGATTTATGACTTTTCGGGGCATTCCTCTATGTTTCGAATTTTGGCGTAAAATTTTTAGGGAATAACATTATGGATGTCCACACCGTTGCGACTGTTACGCGCGCAAACGTCTTGACAGTTGATAATTTGACCATCGAAAGTTCCGAATGTTTGTGTTGTCATCTCTCGGCTGTACAGTGATGGGTGACGACGGTTGTCGATCAATGACGTAGTCCTTTGTGTCCATTGTTTTGGCAATCCCGCGCGTCGCGCACCGTAACCGGGACTTACTCGTGACCGAGTCGTTACGTCTCGAGCCGACGAGCACGACGCGCGGATCACAAAAGTAGTTCACAATTCTCGTCGGCTAATTGAAATATCACGGCGATTTTTGAGGTGTTTCGTCGGGAGGCTCTCGTCGCCGCGTTTGTTAACACGTGCTTCCCACACGATCGAATCGCATCTACACGAGTGTCAGTGTCAGTGAGTATCCGAAACCACGGAGCAGCCGGGAGCCAGGATGCTAGATCGGAAAGCTAGAACGGAGGACGCAGAACACAAGCAGCGATATATATTTCCAGGTGTGTTAATGATTTTTCTTACGCATACTTTTGATTTGGACGGTCGTTCGACGAGTTCACCGAGAATAAAGGAATGTGCCGTCATCGGGAGTTGAAGAGAGAGTTTAGAATTTATTTTTCTTCTTCTTAATGACCTGGTAAAAAAATATTCATCATTCAATATTCAACATTCTTTCTCAAACTATTTTTTTACAATTTTATATTCTGTCACAAAGTATCTTATATTATCCCTTCCTTTTCCACATACATTTCCTTTTTCTCACCTAATTAATATTTGTTATCCTCTTCAGCAATATGCTGTAACAAAATGTTAAATAATTTTTGAAATCCCAGTCCCAAAAAGGCGGAAAGTAGTCATTTCCTTCAAAGTAATCGTTTACTTCAAAGTAGTATAATCTGTAAAATATTATATCTCAAGAATTTCTATTGGTCCTTTAAAGAGAGTCGACGGTATTTGCGGGATTCATGTAGAATCGAAGTTTCGATTGGAGATGCTGTTACGAGCTTGCGTTGCGGCTCGATAAAATACGAGCGTGAAGTTTTATGAGATCGTTAACCCTTAACTATTTTCGATTTTTATAGACGCGTAGGCACTTACAATGACGGTTTCAAGGGTTATCGCGAACTGTCTCTAGGCTATTGTACGACTCCTTGTCGACACTCGCGCAAAGTGAACAGAAGGAAACATCAGTGTCTGTATTTACTTTGTTTTTTCTCTTTTTCTCGTTTTTTCTTCTCCGTCGTTCTCGAAAGGAGACATTAGTCTCTCCAAAAATCCGACGCCTTCGATCACCGCGAAAAACGAATCGTCTAGAGCGTGCTTCAGTGTCAGTAGTTAAGGGTTAAACGCACAGAGAGATTTTTCCGCGTAAAAATTATCCGTGTAAGCTTGACGCTCTGTCGGTGCCCCGAGTACGAAATACACCCCTAACGAGAAACGACAGGAAACGCTGATAAATGCCGCAACTCGGTCGAGATCACAGCCGCCGCGACCTTTCGTGCGCATCATTCGCGTCACGAAGGTGGTTATTTTCTGGATTCACTTGACGGTGTTGACGAATTCTCTGTTTGACACTTGCGTGGGCGACGATGAATAAAAAGAAAAAAAAAAAAGAAAACATAAACCGGGCTTTTGCAATACGAAACCGCGAAAACACCTACTGATGTAGGGGAGCGAAAGTAGTAGAGAGAACGTTGTGTGCGTTGTGCGCGTGTATGAGAGTATGAGAGAAAGAGAGAGAGAGAGAGAGAGAGAGAGAGAGAGAAATAGTGCGAGTGAGCGAGAAAGAGAAAGAGAGAGAGAGAAAGAGCGAGAAAATTCGCGAACGACGAAGGTTCTCGTTACATAGAAAAAAATGAATGTGGTTTAGTATTACGATACACATACACGAGACATACACACACATACACACACACACGAGGTATAAATTGAAATTAGATATAAGCTTGCGATTATCTATTTACTAATTGCAGTTAAATATAAAATCTACTCATACATAAGTATATTGTAATAACAAATGGGGGCGGGGGGGTAGGTGGAAAGAGATGGTTCGAGAAAGAGAGAGAGAAATGGAGAGCAAGAGAGAGAGAGAGAGAGAGAGAGAGAGAGAGAGAGAGAGAGAGAAATAGAGGGAGAGAGAAACAGATAGAAAGAGAGAGAAGATGAACAAAAAATGGAAACAAATTACCGGCCATATTAAACTAGGATTTTATATTGCGCAAATTTGTGGATGAGAGCGGAGGAGAGCCAAAGCACTCGGGTAAATTCGTATTAGCATCGGGCGAATGGTACAGTTCCGCGTGTTAGGATACCTCGGAACGAATCTCTGTCTCCTGTTTCGTCGCACGCAAGCGAACCGTTTGACCGGCTATCTGCGACGTGTCCACGGCGAATTCGCGAGCCGTCGTCGGAACACGAAAATTGAATCACTCCCGAGAGTGAAGCACGAAGAGTGAATCCGCATCCCGATCTCGACGGAAGGCGACCTCGTCTCGGATAGCCGCGTGCCGCTTCGAAAGTGTCCTGCTCGCAGAATCGCACGCGAGCGAGCGAGCGGTCCTGGCGCGCGCTCGTGGAAGTCTCTTGTACGAAAGAACCGAAGTACTCGCTATCTCTCACGTGTCTCCGACTTATTTTTCGATTCGCTTTTGCGCGCCGCGAGACTGCGCGAGACGGCGCGCGAGCGATCTCGCGGACGCTGCCGCATCGTCCGCGAGAGAGGCACATATCGGCGCGAAAGCACATGTCGTCGTCGTCATCAGCCGGAGTTCGATCGAGTTCGCCGCGAAGCCACCGCTTATCATCACCGCTTCCATTTTTGGTCCCGAGAACAACTCGGGAAGCTCATCGCTCGCGGCACCTTTCCTCTCCTTATTCTTTCCTCGCGACGGACTCGAGAGTCCAGCTCCAACTTCGGCTCGATGCGGCGACGGCGACGTCGTCGGCTCGTCATTCGCTAACCTGATCTCATTCGGAGGACGGGCAATAATCGATTATCCGGTCGATCCGTTTGAATCGCGACGATCCACGTGAAGCCCGTGTCGGACTAGAGTCGCATTTCAAAGCGTCCTTTGAAGGAAGATTTTCCTGAAAATCCGTAGTATACGGTAATGTATACCACAGACTTTCAGTGAAATCTCTTCTTCAAAAACGTTTTTGAAGGCAACCTAGATATTGAGGATTGCGCGTTAACCTCTTTAGTGGTGATTTAAAATGACTGCGCGATCCCCTTCAGGACGGGTTTTTATGTTTTTTTTAATACATCCACGTTTCTCTTCTCTTTATTGTTATTTCTTTAAGAATTTGTAAAAATAGATAAGATATATTCCCAGATAACATGCATGTCTAAAAGATATCTTTTCGACATCTTTTAGACATGCATGTTATCCGGGTTCAATTTGTATTTGCTATGAGGGTAAGAGGAAAATGTTAATAGTTAAATCATATGTTTGTCCAATTTGAAGGAAAAATAAAGACAGACATAATATGATTTAACTGTTAGTTAGCTTATCAAGAAGTTGGAAAAATCGGCTCTAAGTAAATCGAAAGGAATTTTAATATTTATTAAAATTTATTAAAAAATTTTTTAAAAATATTCATTAATATTTATTAAATTACTGCTAAACTCACTTTTCCGAGCATTCCACTTAAGGGGTTAAAGATTAGAACTTGATCAAACGAAGCGAATTGAGATCGCAAGTTCAACTCGTCGAATTTCAATATTTAATCAGTTCTCTGTTTATTATACATGATCTAACAAGGGCTGAATAAACGCGCGCTTTTTGCCCGATAATCTCCGTGCGCTCGCGCGCAGATCGCGGAGAACGTCTCGCCGTCGCAGGCAGGTCCGGTGCAGGCATTATACAAATCCCCGATACACCGTACTTTTAAGGCATTGTAAGGCTAGGTTGATATTATAGGAGATTTTTATACGATTTATAAGGCAATGCAATGCGCGGTCGATTGATTGATTTGTCTGTCGCACTCATTTCCTTTTGTCGACGCGGGATTTCTGTTGAATTGTATGCACGGGTGCGCCGCACTTCTTTCCACTCAGAAAAAACGTTTTGCTAGTCCAGGTAGAATTCCAAGTGTCACAGTCAAAATTTATCGCTGTTTTTTGTATCTGCTGGATATTGTCTGTGGTATGTGGAATTTGCAGCAGCAGCATTCCTGCAATATATTCTGCGAGCAAATTTAAGCGGGTGTGATGATCACACATGATCTCTCTTCCTCTACAGTTATTTCTATAAGAGGCGCGACTAGCTTTAATCCGCACGGAGAGATCGGCTCGCTAACAGTTTCACAGATAGTTCAAATAGAAATTCTATCTCTGTGATTGATTTAATACGAAACATATGCGCGACATCGCAGTGTCTACTAATCATTCATCCATCTTGACTAATTTCTCGAGATAATTTTCGCTATGGCTGCAAAATCATTTTTTTGAGTGCCGGAGTATGCACCGCACGCGCGAGCATTACTCTAACGACGCGAGTTCGCGTTATCTCGACGGCAACCCGGATCCGAGGCTTCTCGGGCGTGCCATGTATGTACCATCCTATCACCGTAAAAGAAAAAGAAAGAAGAAACGGCGAACGCGGATTGTCTCGGCGCTCGTTCTCGCGTCGTCTCGAGTCGACGCGCTTCACCCTACTGTAAGACACGGAAAAGCGCTCTTGTTCCGTAAAACTTCTCTCAAGTCGTTCATTATTGTATACATATATTATATACATACACATTATCGTGCTTCTCTCTATCTCGCGTCCGTAATGTAATCATCGCGCGTCTCTCGCGATTTCTCTCCGCGCGCGACCCTAGCCGGCGAGTCGCGCGCGCCTAGCTGGCATTCTTTACCTCCAATCTGTCCGCACTCTTTGACCCTTCGTAGGCCGCGCGACGACAAACGACGAGGTCCAATTAGTTAGGCAAGATTTTTTCTAGCGAATGCGGGAAAAAGGTCGAGAGAGAGAGCGCTCGTCGCGGCGTCAGCCCTGCGACGCGACGCGTGCCGACCGTGTCGGAGACGACACTCCCGATATAAGCCGCTTTTCTCTTTCATTAACGATATATATGTATGCATATATTTAATATATACATATGTGTATATTGTTGAACGATTAAAAATCGTTGACTTACCGCTTGCGAATGTTGACGCATCGTTGATTGCACGCTCCATCGCCGGGTCTCGTCCGTCAGCACACGCACGTGACATGCACGCACACTCCACACATCATCCGCCTTCTGGTCCCCTCAGCGTTGTTCGCGTAGACCACGTAGGACAGGATTAGCGAGTGGCATGCGGGACTCTAGAGATCGTGCCTAGACCCGCAGCAGCAGGGTCGAGGACGAGCACGCTGCGGGCTTGCACGCGCGTCGGGCACGCAAAACGCCATTCACACGGGCCTGAAATCACAAGACGAAGATTGTCGGACTTTTCACGTTTGCTCGACTTACGGCCGCGCCTGTCCGTTCACCGAGAAGTGGCAACGAGTAGATCTCGAATCGAGGCGCGTCGAGACACGTTGATTCAGAAATCGATACGAGCCCGAGGTGGCGAGAGAGTTTCCTCGCGTCACAGGTCGTGGTGCACGTGTGCGTCGACCATAGACTTATAGAATAGACTAGCGCACGCTTACAGGATGGCTGAACCTTGCTACTAGACAAAGTACTCAGATTTGAACTTTGATTAATATTTGTCACCTGAAACTTGTCTTATGTGAGTCACTCAAATTTCTGCTCAGAGTTAGATCCAAGTTTTTTACTTGAACCATATAATATACGCGATATCACATTTGTAATCGCAATTTAATTGAAAAACTCTCATCCAATTTCTGAATTCAAAGCATCTGAAATTCTGAGTATCTCACTTTACGAAACGAGTTTTAAGTAAGGATTACTAATACGGGCTTTGGAATTAGATGTGAGTTTCTCAGCTTAATTGCGATTACAAATGTGATATCGCGTATATTATTCAAGTAATAAAACTCAAATATAAGTTTAAATTCAGATCTTAGTATCTCACGTGTTTCAAGTTGTGACTGTTGACATGGACCTATGAGGGAGCGATGTAGGAGAAACAAAAGAGAATGTGACATAGTGAAAGAAAGAGAGGACACATTGATCATGCGATCGTTTCTTCTTCTTCGTTCTTTCCACTAATTGTACAGTTAGACAACGAAAGTTGTCTTGCTCTCCAGAGTTCCTCAAGTCAGAGTTGGGACATCGACTGCTATTCGTAGGGAAGAAGTGAGTGAGTGAATGAGAGAAGGAGAGAAAGTTGCAGCGTGCTTTGTCATTTCGGTCTTAGAGTTACTACTTCACTTCTGTTAGAGTTTCTCTCGTACTCTCACTCATGTCATCTCTAAAAATGGCGGACAGAATGCAGATCGATCAGGAATCATCATACTTTGTCCTAACTCTGACCAGAGGAACTCTATTACTCTTCATTCATTGTTTTCTCTTACTAATGCTGACTTCATTCTTCCTACAGCAACGTATAATCTATTCTATATGTCTGTGGCATCGACGTCGGATCGACGCTCGACGATCTCGAATAATTGACGACCACGTTCGAAGAATGCTTTTACCTATTTCCTCTCTCGTTTTCGTTCTCGGAGAGTTGAGTATAGTGCCACGAAGAAATCTAAAAGCGATCTAAAACCTCCCTCGCGTTACGAGCTTCTATCTTAGTAGTCGCGCGTTAGTATGTGCTGAATATTTAGTGACGTCCAGACAAACTGACAATAACGGCTGTGAGTGCGGTATTCTTTTCGAATGAGGCAAAAAAGAAGAGAGAAAGGAAGAGAGAGAAAGAGAGAGAAAGAGAAAGAGAGGAGAAATCTATTCTAACGTAAACCGTGTTGCGCTCGATTCGTCTGTGCGCGAATCGAACGATTCAGGCATTCGGATCTAACATTTGCTGCTCTCAGTGCTAATGCACACAATATGTATTAATGATTTAAACGTGACATAATTACATGATAAAATGAAATGTGTTATAACATGTTAAGAGGATGCTGGATATTGACATAATGCAGCTTCGTAGGTCGCGTAGATTGCACTGTTTTTCTATTTGGTTGCATAAAATTGCAAATCTTTTCAAAAAAATACAAGAAAGTAAAAGTACAAATGTCAATGCATGAAAAGGTATGAAATATTATATCAAAAACAAAAAATATTTTATTAAAAAATATTTATTACACCACGTATATATTGTATCAGAAATAAAAAGAAATTATTAGTAAAAAATTGTTTTAGCACAATTTTTAGTAAAAATTTTTCATACAATATTTGGTACCTTTTCATGCATTGATATTTGTACTTTTATTCTGTAAGAATATTTACAACTGTATATAATTCCAATCAAATTGGAAAACAGTATAACTTAACGAAACTGCATTATGTTGATATCCGACGTTCCATTAATACGCTTCCATTTTTAACGCATTATACTAGCAGTTTAAATGATCACACATATATGTGTAAAGTGTTGTAACTTCAAATATCGTCTCTCAATGTTTAAAAGACGTTCCTAAACAATATTTATGGGTTAAAGCGCCTGAGTATTCGTTGCAGCCATATTGGATTATGACGTCACGTCAAGTGAAAAATGACACGCTGAAAATGTTTACGTGCCATTTCCAAATAAGAAGATATTTGAAAGAACACTTCAAATCACTCGAATATACTTGTAAAATATTCCGTAAACTAACCTTTTTCTTGATAGTCAATAAATAGCCCTGAAATGACATGGCAAAATCACGGGGAAAGATAGAAGGTTACACGTTAATTTTATAGCTATTTATTGACTGTCAAGAGAAAAGGATAGTTATCCGAATATTTTACAAATATGTTTCAGCGATCAGAAGTGTTCTTTCATAGAGATATCTCTTTATTTAAGAAATGACACGGAAGAATTTTGGATATGCGTTTTCTGACGTCATCAATCCAGAGTTCCGCAGTGAGTATCCAGAAGCCTTTAGAGACGGTGCATGAGATTAGAACACACATACGTGTATTAATGCAAGCTGCCAGTAGAGCGTGTTAAAATTGGAGGCACGTTAACGCGCTATTATGACATATTTCATTTAGCGGCATCATTTACCGATGATCACTTGGACCGATGTACTCGTGCGGGGTGCAATTTCAAACGCCATTTAATCCGCTTTGAGATCCGCAGAGTACTACGTTATTACCGTTTCTCCTCTCGCGCACTGCGCGCGCAATCTCCGGAAATTCGACGCTCACCAGCCCTGGCAGCGGCATAACTTCGCAAAATGGTATCCGACCCGGTTGTTTGAACCACCGCGGTTCAGAAGAAACTTCGTCAACAACCGGGGGTCGCCGTTGTAATAAACAGCAACACACACATACACCGCACGTGCGAAGCAGTCGTTACTCTCTACGCGACTCTTGCGCAGATCAGTCGGAAACGCTGAGATTCCGAGAGCACTCGCGGCGAACTATTTTTTTACGAAGAAGAATACTGAGCCTGCCCTTTGCGATCACGCTGAATTATACTACCGATAGTAAGAGGCCGATCATACACATCAAGAGCGACGCGAAACGATTGGATTTCCCTTCGTGCGCGAACAATGAGCACGGCGACGATGAATACGCGCGATCAATCGTGCGACTCGAGAGAGAGAGTATCTGAAGCAGCCCGTGTCACATTAGATCGCCGATTGTATCGCGATTGACGATCATGAAGTAGAGACTGTCTGCATTTAATCGATCGCGAGCAATGTTTTGGATATATCTTTTGATTTCGACGTATTTTGCAAGAATTTTGGATATGCATTCCCTCGCTCTTTTGACGTCACAAATCAAGATGGCCACGGCGAGTAGCTAGGAGCCTTAGAAAATAACGAAAAGTAACGGTTGCGTTACGAAAGAAAATATAACGCCGTTACTTTTTCGTGGCAGATAGAAGAAAGTAACGGCGTTATCAAATTGTTACCGAAACAAAGTAACGGTAAACAGTTAATTCCCAACTCTGAGCAGACCATTGTCTAATTAATCTCATTCGGTGACTGTTTTGCTCTGATTGGTAGAAGAGTAGTCACTGATTGCTAATCGCAATCCGGTCAATAACCGCTAGTCTGACACGGGTTTTAGTCCCGATCTACAATGAGTGTAGTAAGCTTTGAGCCTAAGAAATTGACCAATCACAACTGATTATTCTTCTATAATTCGACTATGATTGGTTATTTCTTAAAGCTTAAAAGTTACTATATCTATTGTAGATCGGGACTTACGGACCGGGGCAAAGTAAGCGAACCGCGCGACTCGCTTTCGAGCGATCGAACAAGCAATCGATCGATCGCGCCGTGGCGCCGATAGTCGATCGCGGGGCGAACTTTTACGCAACGCCACGGTGTTTTCGCTCTCTTCACGTGCGCGCGCGGGTGCACGACAAAGAGGGTGAAGTGTTTGTGGAAAGATACGATTGGAAGAGAGTAAGTTTGCGTTTTTGACATTTTTACACACAACCCTCGTTGCACACTGGACCTTTCTTTCGAAAGAAGAGCTCTCATTGAATTTCATTCAATCATCGTGTCTGATGTGCAACGGGCATTAAGTGCAAAAGTGTCAGGAGTGCAAGCAACGCGAACGAAACTAATGTTTGCGACATTTAACGTTCGCGGGGGAAGTCGAAGGCTAAGTTCGTTCTCGCACGCTTCCATGCTGAAGACGTCATTCTGTCTTTGATATGTAATGAGCGACAAAAGTAGAATGACGCTTTCAGCACGAAAACGTGCGAGACGAGCTCAGCTAAAGTGGCAACGCGGCGCGAGGATTCGCGCGAATCGTGACGCGCCTCGCGATTGATTCTCCGTACGATTTCGCTCCATATCGATATTACACATCATACATCACACAGCAGACAGAAAGACACCCGCACACACACACACACACACACACATACACGTGCAGACACGTACAAATACATCTACATTACGTTATTCACTTGTAAAGTTTGATCTGCAATATATTCTTTGCTTCCTGTTTCTTTCTCTTTGTCGCATTTTGATTCAAACCTTAAAGCCTGATCTACAATATGTTCCTTGCTTCCTGCTTCTTTCTCTTTCTGACTCAACCTTAAGCTTTAAGCCAGAAAAAGATAGAAGACAAGAAACAGAACGCAAAGAGAATATTGTAGATCAGGCTTTAAGCCAGAAAAAGACAGAGAACAAAAACAGGAAGCAAAGAGCACACTGTAGATTAAGTTTTAGGGTCACTAATTTCATTAGATATCGGTTCATATGCTGCATTCTGCCACGCGTTGTCCCGCACACGCGCATCGTTTACTTATTGCGGAGCGAGCTCAGAACGACGATGTACAGTTTTAGCGCGGAACGATTCAATACTGGTACTTGTCACGCAATGACCATGAATTATTATGTACTATTATTATTACTATTATTATTATTGCTATTTATTATTATTATTATTGCAAAAATATATCGTTAGTTTTCGAACAAACGAATGAACACGAGGGGTGGGGAGATAAAAATTGTAACATATTTGTTGATGGCCAATATCAAATATGTATAAAAGTAATAATAATGCAACATTACTAATAAACAAATATTACTAAAACCGCGTGTGTTTCGTTACCGATAAGGTGTTACCCAAATCCATCGGATCAAGATAAAGTAATTACCGACGGGACTGACTTATCAGTGCTTTGCGACTTTCATTTCAAACCCAAGGATAATTACAGAACACCGGCAAAATTATCGACTGTTTCCTCATCAATTTTGTAACTCTCATTCTTCAGACAAACTCTATAGATTATTTACAGTCTGTACACTCTAAATTTCTTTGAGTGAGACTTCACTCCAAGGTAGTGAAAATTGCGTCAGTCAAAGTTACAGCGAGAACTTCAGTCCAAACAAGTGAGAACTCTCTCCAAACCAGTAAAAATACTGCTCGCTTGGAGTTTTCACTCGTTTGAAGTGAAATTCTCACTCTAACTTTGACTGGCGCAATTTTCATTATTTTGGAGTAAAGTCTCACTCCAAGAAATTTAGAGTGCATAGATGATCTCATACATAGTTCGAATTGGCTACACGTAGACGAAGAATATCATAATTTATGGGTAAATGCTTAATCCTGCTCCTGAGGCTAACCTTACTGGAAGAGACGAAGACTTTGTCGTAGAATAAAAAAAATTATCATCATCTCACAAATTACCGTCATTTCATATTTTTCGGCATTTGTCCGAAGCACGATACAAAATGCAACAATGCTTCGTACATTTTAGATCCTACACTGTTAAATATTGGAGGGTCAAATTTAAACCAATTTTCTTGAGTTAAATAATATTTAGTTATTTTTAACTATCATGTGTATCAAAATTTACTATTTTAACGCAAAACATGTGTTTAAAAAAACAACCACATCTAATCAACCCATTTAAAACAATATTAAGTCATTTTTTACTAAAACAAAGGTTACATTAACGTATACATAATAAAAAATAAACTAAATTTTAGTCAAATTTAATACATTTCTTAAGTTAAATTATTTAACTCCATTACATTAGTTAAATTAACGACATATTTAGTAGGAGCAGTGGCGACTTATAGGAATGGTTAAAAATAACTCAAATTGAGTATAATTTGACACTACGGATTTAACAGTGTAAACAGCACAAAATCTCCAACAAATCTCCAAGTACGTTTTCAGGACATAGGGACGTTCTTAGAACGTCTTTA